AAATCAATACATCAATCAGAACATTAATGAATGGAGAATGTTTAATTGAGTGAGATAGCAGAGAAGAAAGGTGAAGAAGAGTCCTAACGGACTCAAAACGTCAATCCTGTTCCTCTCTCCACAGATGCTGCCAGATCTGCTGAGTTTCTCCAGCAGTTTATTTTCGTTTCAGAAAGAAATAGTTTGTGTTTTATATGAAATTTATCTCTCAAACACTGACTCCTGGTCAATACTTTGAACAAGGTTATGGGCTACAGCTAACACCTTTAGTAGAGAAGGGGAGAATATTGCATTAATTTTTTTGAGCATTCACTGTTTTATTTAATGTTTTCAATATTTTCTCATTAAACTGAGAGATGCAGCCTCCCATTTTATTTTCTCTCCATCTATCCTCACCAGTGTTTTTTTTCTCTCTCATTCTCTTGCAGCATACAATAGAGATAGCCTCTGAAGATGATGACCATGAGCACCAGTCCATTAGCCCCAGCCCAGAGATTGTGGATTCAGTGTCTGGCAGTGGTTTAGTTAGTGATGCCATCACAGGAGAAATGTATGTCCCACTGTCACAAGAAGAGGCAGAACGTATCAGTCAGAAACTGCTCTGGCTTTGGCGGCGATCCAGGCCTGTGAATGTTAAGCCATTGCCAGTGGACTTGCACAAGAAAACAATAATTTCTGCCATTGAAGAAAATCAGGTCATAGTCATAGCTGGCGCGACTGGATGTGGTAAGACTACCAGGATCCCTCAGTTTATTCTGGAGAAGTTCATAACTGACAACAGAGGAGCAGACTGTAACATTTTAATAACACAGCCCCGACGGATCAGTGCAGTATCAGTGGGGCAACGAGTAGGCTATGAGATGGGACCAAGCCTGAAGAAAAATGTGGGTTACCAGGTGAGACTGGAGAGCATGTTGCCCCCTAGAGGTGGAGCCCTACTCTTCTGCACTGTTGGCATCCTCTTAAAGAAACTGCAAGGGAATGCCTCACTAGAAGGCATCAGTCATGTCATTGTGGATGAAGTCCACGAACGTGATGTCAACACGGACTTCCTTCTCATCTTACTGAAGAAGGTGATGGAATCCAACCCGAATCTGAAGATCATCTTAATGAGTGCCACCAGCGACACTGAGCGTATATCAGAATATTATCGGAATTGCCCCATAGTAACTGTGCCAGGGTTCATGTTTCCGGTGAAGGATTTTTACCTGGATGATATCCTACCAATGCTGGGGCAACGGAAGACCACTCGGCTCAATCAAGTGAGTAGCTTGATAAGGGAGGAAAGAGTTTGTTTTGGTGTTATTTTTCTGTTTCTGAATGTCCTAAAGTATTTTCACAGCAAATTAACGATTTTTGCACTGAAATGATTAGCTAATTTGTCTAAGTCAGATGATTGGAGCATTTAGTCTGTTTTTGAGTATTTTGATTGAAGGTAAATGTTGGCTAGGATATTAGGTATCTGTCCTTTTCGGATTCATGTAGATGTTTCAACTTACTTGCTCATGCCTGGACCGAAGTTTGAGCTGAAATCCACTCACTCAGCACTAAAAAGAAGACTACTTAGGCCAAGTTGATGAACGCACCATGGTAAAGTAGTACAGTGCTAAGTTGTGATTGGACAGGTAACAGGGCATGTCTTTGCTATAACAGACACAATATATTCAGCTAATTGAACAAATCTGGAATTGAAATCTAGGAGTAAGCAGTGACACTGTAAAGCCTATCTGATTGTTCACAAGTCCTGAACGGTTGTTCTGAAGGAAATTTGTTCTTGCATATTCTGCCCCATTCGTGATTCCAGATGCTCAAATGTGGTTGATTCTTAACTGTGTTCTGAAGTAGCCTGAAAAACCAAACTGTTGTATTCATCCATTACAATAAAAATATATTAATAATAAAACTGCCCAGGTTACACAGCATCAACATAGCTTTTAGATTTGAGCAAATGATGGTACACTGAGTCTGGTGGGCACTAAAAAGGCGCTCACTAACATATGAGGGTTATGAATTACGCTAATAAGCATTTTAAAATTATCATGACTTTTCGGGAAGCAACAAAATGTTCATGAGTGGGGTACCTGCTCACTGCAATTAAAAGGAGCATGTCCCACCATTGCACTTGTTCCAGTGAAATAAAAGCGCAGTGGGGCTAGAGGCAGGTTTCAAGGTTTGGTACTTAGGCCTCAATTATTTACAGTCCACATCAATTACTTGGAGGATGGCACTGAGTGTTAACACAACTAAATTTGCTGATGATACCAAGTTATATGGGAGGATAGGTAGTGAGGAGGATGCAAGCGGGTTGCAAAAGAGTGTACTCAGATTGTGTGAGAAGGGAAGTACATGACAGATGGAATATGTTGTGGCAAAGCATGAAATTATCCATTCTGGTAGGGAAAATGTAAAAGCAGAATATCTGTTGAATGGCAATAAACTGGGAAATGTTTGTATTCAGAGGGACGTGGATATCTTTTATTTGAACCACAGAAGGTTAGCGTGCAGATACAAAAGCTGATAATGTATTAATTTATGTTGAGGGTTTGGAGTATAACAATAAAGATACCTTACTACATTCATGTGGGCCATTATTTAGGCTACACCTAGAGTATGTTCGCAGTTTTTGTTAATGGGCGCATGCTCCATGTTAACACCTCTACTGATCACATTTCACTTGCCAACCAATCAGCCCATACCTCTCATGTAGTATAAATGTTTATTTTTCCCTTGTGTTGGTATTCTTGCAAATTGTCCTGTTGTATGTAAGATGAAAAGGTTCAATTTTTTTTTCTTGGAATATTATTTGTGCCTTCTACAGTGAAGGCAAGCACAAATTTTTGTTCTATGCCAGTACCATTTTGTTGTTTTCCCAACATTAATTCTGCAGACTCACTTTTTAAAGGGTCAACGCTTACTAGTTACTTTTTTTTAAAACTGCTTGAAACTCTTGGTATCTATTTTAATGTTTCTATCTAGCTTTCTGTTAAATTCTAATTTCTCCTTCCTTTATTTGTCAATCTTTAGACAATAAAATCTGCCTAATCTTCTGATTTACCATTCAGCTTCACGATGTAAGACATAGGAGCAGAAATTAGGCCATTCGGTCCATCGAGTCTGCTCTGCTATTCAATCATGGCTGATAAGTTCCTCAACCCCATTCTCCCGCTTTCTCCCCGTAACCCTTGATCCCCTTGATAATCAAGAACCTCTCTATCTCAGTCGTAAATGTACTCAATGACCTGGCCTCCACAGCCTTCTGTGGCAATGAATTCCATAGATTTACCTCTGTCTGGCTGAAGAAGTTTCTCCTTATCTCCGTTCTAAAAGGTCTACCCTTTACTCTAAGGCTGTGCCCTCGGGTCCTAGTCTCTCCTACCAATGGAAGCATCTTCCCAACATCCACTCTCTCCAGGCCGTTCAGTATTCTGTAAGTTTCAATTAGATGCCCCCCCTCATCCTTCTCCACTCCAATGAGAAGAGTCCCAGAGTCCTCAAACGTTCCTCATATGTTAAGCTTTCCATTCCTGGGACCATTCTCCTGGGAATCTCCTCTGAACCTGCTCCAGGGCCAGTACATCCTTCCTGAGATACGGGGCCCAAAACTGCACACAATGCTCCAAATGTGGCCTGACCAGAGCCTTATAAGGCCTCGGTAGTACATCCCTGCTTTTAAATTCAAGTCCTGTCAAAATAAATGCCAACATTGCATTTGCCTTCCTGACTACTGAGTCAACCTGCAAGTTTACCTTGAGAGAATCCTGGACTAGAACTCCTAAGTCTCTTGGCACTTCAGACTTCTGAATTTTCTCCCCATTTAGAAAATAGTCGATGCTTTTGTTCTTCTTACCAAAGTGCGTGACCTCACATTTTCCCACACAGTACTCCATCTGCCACTTCTTTGCCCATTCTCCTAACCTGTCCAAATCCTTCTGCAGCCTCCCCACCTCCTCAATACTACGTGTCCCTCCACCTATCTTTGTATCGTCTGCAGACTTAGCCAGAATGCCCACAGTTCCTTCATCTAGATCATTAACATTGTATGCTCTTCTTCTCAATGTGATACTATCCTTCCTTAATTAATCATAGATGGCACTCAAAGTAATATGTCCCCCCTGAGATATGAAATATCTCCTTATAAGTCTGCTACTATTGCACTAATGTCCATTTAACCTATTTTCCTGATTGACTTTAGTCAATGCTTTACTCATACTCTTGTAATTTTTTTAAGTTTAAGGCAGGAGTCTTAGACCTGCACTTCTGACAACTAAATTGAATGTGAAATTCTATCATGTCATGACGACTCTTGCTGTAAGGCTGCTTTAGAATAAGGATATTAATTAATTAAACCCTGTCTCATTGCACATTACCAGGTCTAAATTGTCCTGCTCCCAGATTGGCACTCAAATATAGTGTCTCCACAATTTGAATACAGTATGAAGTAATCTTTCGACCACCTTCGCCAATCTGATTTGTTTAATTTATATGGAGATAAATTACTCATGATAATTTCAGTATCTTTCCTACAAGCCTCTATTATCTTTTCCTCCATCCTCTTCTGCAAATTAAACTTTTACAAGGGGCTTATAAACTCTGCCACAATGACTTTAACCTTTGCTTTCCATGGTTCAGTTTCCATATTGCTGTGGTTACCATGAAGATCCTGAAGGAATGGTGACCCTTAGGTTAAATTCACCACCAGTTGTCCCCCTCTCTAACGACTAGTACAACTTGGCTGCATAAAGCTGCATTAATACTTCCACTGTACCTTTTCTATTTCTTGTCTTTACCAAACTCATTCTATATCTTAATCTTAATTTCTTAGTTACAGTCAGTTGATTTGATTCGAGCTGAGAATTAAATCTGAAGTATGTGTAATGCACTACACATTTCGATTCAGCCTTTGAGCCACCACTGATCTCCGAATCTGTTACTGTCTCTGAGCATGCGCAGGAATCTGCAGATGTCATCTGTGCCTTGCAGCACTAATCAAACTTTCAATTGGTGTGTAATTTTCTTTCCACAAAATAAATGATCCTTAAGATCACAAGGAATTATATTAGTGCAAAACGATATATTATTTGATAAAACTGTTTTGAGTTTTCGGTAGTATTAATTAACTCTTTGGTTTTGTGATGTCAACAGGATGAGGAAGACCCTGTCCCTGATCTTGATCTGGTCACTGACACAATTTTGTATATTGATGCTCACAGTGAATCAGGTAAGGGAAGCTTGTTTGTGCTCTTACTGTTTGCTGCTGACAGCAGGAGAGGGATATTTCTAATTCTTTCTCCTTACTTACTGGCTGCCTGTACAAACTGGTTTAGTCCTCAAATATGCAGACCAGGAAGGTCCAACGTTTGATGTTTAATCCATCCCAAGTTATTGATCTCAACCAGAGTAATAAACAGAAGCACTGACAACCAAGGTCACAAATTACACAATGTTTCACTGGGACAAAGATAAACTATCTAGCTTTTTCTGTCTACACCTGTCCGGAGACTTTGACATCCTCCTGTGGACTTTACCATCCTCCTATGCCTCTCCATCAATGTTTAGTTGTGTAGAAATGCCCTTGTTTGTCTTGCCTGATGATAGCTGGAGAATCACCTGCAATTGCCTCTCTTCCCATTCCTGCATTGTGTTTTCCCAGAATATACCTGTGGCACATTTCTGTCCTTCTCTGCTTCATGACCCATGGCAGCACCAAACAAGAAAATCCCCAAAGGTCCTCAGACTGCGCCTTCCAAATCTACCTAGAAGGACAACAGCAGCAGATATATAGGACCACCACCAGCTACAAGTTCCCTGCAAGCCATTCGCCATCCAGTCTTGGATATATACTATCATTCCTTCACTGTCACTGTATCAAACTCCTGGGAGTCCCCCTCTAATGGCATTATTGGTGTACCTGCACCAAATGGAGAGCAGTGGTTCAAGAAAGCAATTTACCACCACCTTCTCAAGGTAACTAGGCATGAGCAATAGTTACTGGTCCAGCCGGTGATGCTTACATCCCATAAATGAATAAATAAGAAAGTGCCCCAATTTTCAAATACAAAGTGAGAATACATGGCTTTTCTTCACTATCGTCTTTCTCGACTTCTCCATTGTCACTGTTATCGCAAGGGTGAGCAGAAATTTTCCTCTAATGTTCGGAAGAACGAAGTCATTCTTTTTGATCCCCATTCCAAACTCTGGTCCCAAACCACTGACTTGATTCCTTTTGCTGACAATTATCTGAGGCCAGACAAGACTTTTACACAAGCTTGTTACCATACTTGACCCAAGGTGAGCTTCCAGTTGTACATTGCAGAATTAAGTACACTGCCTGTTTCCACTTCTCTAATATTGCCTAATTCTGTCCCTGCCTTGTTAATCTGATGCTGAAAGTCTCATCTTGTTACCTTTAAACTTTATTATTCTAATGCACTCCTAGCAGTTCTCCAACTTTCTGCCCTCTGTGACTGAAGGATATCTAAAACTCATACAGAGTTCACCCATGTGCTCACTGAATTACACTGGACTTGATTTGGCAGTTCCCATCCTTGTTTTCAAATTCCTCTGTGACCTTTGTCCTCCCTCCCTGTCCCTGTTCTCCTCTATGCCCAGAAACCTTTGGGATATCTGCAATCTAGTTCTGGCCCCTTGAGCATCCTTAATTTTAATTGCACAATTGTTGCTGGGCATGCTTTCAGCTACTAAGTTCTTAAGTTCTGAAATTCCCTTTCTGAACCTCTCTATCTCTCTCATAATCTTCCTTTTAAGATGCTCCTGAAAGCCTATTTCATCAATCATGCTTTTGGTCAACTTGACCAGATATGACCTCAAGTAGTTCAGTGTTGAAGAAAGTTCTTTTGAAGTGGCTCAGGATGCTTTATTCTGTTAAAGGACCTATATAAATGCCAGAAGCAGGCTTTAAACTGTGGAGACAGAACTGAAAATCCCTGAACATAAGTGAAACCAGGAGCAGTGCTTAAAGTGCAGCAGGGGATCAAGGATCTTCTCCATCTCACATCCCCCAACGCCACTACCACCACCACTACAACTACAGCCACCACATAAAAAGACAAAAGGGATCATTGACACTGAAGCAAGACTTGAAATGTGTAGGAAGAGTGGAATTTGCCCCTGAGAATCAGTGAAATCAGGAGCAGGACTTAAAGCATTAGAGAATGGAACTTCCCACTAAGGATCAGGATCAAGGTTTAACACAAGGAGAGAAAACTAGACCATGCAACACAATCCCCACCCCAACACACACATCTGTCTTCCCCACATGAACTCCAACCCATGCGCATCACTCCACCGCCCCCCCCCCACACACACACACACACACACACGCACATGCACACGCTCATGCCTACCCTACCCCAGAGTGCAATCTTCCCTGATGCACACCCACTCCCACACTCTCCTCTTGTCCACATGCTCCTCCACCCAACATTCCCCACTGCTTGCATGGTCCCAACCTCCTCCCCAACACCCCGTCCATGCACACTGCCCCACTCTTCCTGCATATGCACCTCCTCCACCCTAGGGCTCCCCCTTCATCCGCATGGCCTCCTTCCCCCTCAAGGCCCCCTTCATCCCCACAGATGCTCCTCAACCCCACCATACTGCCCAAACCCCTGCCCCCATCACCCCCATACATACTTCCTCCATCTTCCACTTACCCATGCATATGAAATATAGAAACAGAAAATAGGAACATAAGTAGGTGATTTGGTCTATCCAGCCCACTTCACCATTCAGTATAATGATGGCTAATGCTGTGTTGATACTCTGCTCCAGTTCTCCTGAATGGGGAAAGAAAAATCAGCCAATCCTCAACCCAAATCAAGTGATTTTGCCTCGGTGGCATGTGGGTGGAAGTTTTGGGTTGGTGGTGATGCACTTTGTGATTGAATAGCCAAAACAATTATTCTGGAATAAGCATTTAGTAACACAGTGCATCTCTCTGAATCAGGAGCAGATGCTATATTTAACAGGGTAGAACAGACACTGACTGAAAAGAAACATTAAAGAAACCATACACTTTTGCACTTGGCCTTTAACTGACCTCTTGTTATGTTTGTGTTGCAGGTGGAATCTTGTGCTTCTTGCCAGGATGGCAGGAGATCCGAGGGGTTCAACAGAGACTTGAGGAATGCCTTTCTACTCGGAAAGAAAACTATATAATTCTACCTGGTGGGTGCAAAATTAGTGCAGTTTGGTAAAAAAGTGAACTTCCTATTTTTTGTAGTGAGTGTCTGTAAAGTCAGTGCAATTAGGGAAGAAATAAATCTTCCATGGGTTTGCTTCCAGATAATCAGAGGAACATGTCAGTAGTTTGGAATTCTACAGCAAGTAACTCATCTACTGTCATGAATGTGATGGAATACTCACCATTTACTTGGATGAGTACAGCTTGAGCAACACAAGAAGCTCAAAACCAGTCAAGACAAAGAAGTTCGCTAAATTAGCACTCATGCACCACTTTATACACCTAGGTCAGTTTGCTGGACAAATAATTTGTGATGCAAACTGATGCCAACAGTTTAAGTTCTGTCCTGGCTGAGGTCACACGAAGACCTACCTTTTCAACTTAACTCTTTGCCTGAGTGACCTTTGGGTTAAACTTGTTGCCGATGTTCCCTCTAATTTTCTTTCTGGCTGGGTTGGAGTCTGATGTCTGTGCGCTACAATAACTACTGGAACTGGGGAACCGTGCACCTTAGAGAGAACATTGCTCATCACTAGTTGTGTCTCTCTAATGAGAAAGCGACCTGTGGTACCCAGGGGTATGGTGACCTTCACTTTTTCACTTTCACTCTCCCTCAAGCATCACTGCCCTGTTGTAGCTGTAGGCACCATGCACAAGATGGTGAGAAATGGCAGATGGTGTTTAATTTGGATAAATGTGAGGTATTGCATTTTGGTTAAAATGAACAAGGGGAGAACTTAAACAGTTAATGGTATGTGTCTCAGTTACGTTGTTGAACAGAGACACCTAGGGGTTCAGTTACATAGTTCTTTGAAAGTTGTGTCACAGGTAAACAGGGTGGTTAAGAAGACACACTTGCCTTTATTGCGCAGACCTTTGAGTATAGGAATTGGGACATCATATTGAGATTGTACAGGACAATAGAGAGGCCACTTTTGGAGTATTGTACACAGTTCTGGTCGCCCTGCTATAGGAAAGATTTTATTAAATTGGAGAGGGTTCGGAAAAGATTTTCAAGGATGTTGCAGGGACTGGAGGGTTTGAGTTATAAGGAGAGGTTGGATAGGCTGGACTTTTTCCACTGGCGCGTAGGAGGTTGATGAGTGACCTTATAGAGGTTTATTAAATCATGAAGGGCATAGATCAAGTCAAGTTGCCGTAGTCTTACCAGATCATAGGACTACTCATTAGAGAGAGACAACTGGTGGTGAGGGCCACTATACCTCACGCAAATGGGCAGGTTGAGAAGCAGAGTCCTTAATGGTAAACTCAGCCCATGATGGGAATTGAACCCATACTGTTGACATCACACTGCTTTGCAAACCAACTGTACAGCCAACTGAGCTAAACACAGGCAAGTGGGACTAGTTTAGTTTAGGAAACTTGGTTGGCATGAACGAGTTGAAAAGTTCTGTTTCCGTGCTGTGTGACTCAATGACAATGCTCCAACTTACCGTTGATGCTTTGACAAGACTTCTGTTGCCTAGAAGAACAAGGGCAGTAGAGACATAGGAACGTCACAGTCTATGTAAGTTCTTCTCTGTCATTCGGCATGTTGACCTAACTAGACTGTCATGCCTTCACTGTGGCTGGGTCAGAAACCTGAAACTCCCTAAAAGTACTGGTGTACGTTTACCACATGGAGCTACAAAGTTTTAAGAAGATGGTTGTCCACTACGTTCTTAAGGGCAGTTAGGTTTGGGCAATAATTGCTGACATTGCAAGCAGTGCCCATATTACATTAGTGAATTTTAATAAAAAGCTTCTGAAGAGGCATTGGATTTGGACTGGTAACTCTCTCCACAGGTGTTGTCAGACCAATTGAGTTTCTCTAGCACTGTTTCTATTTTTAAAAAAATCTTGGCAAAATTGTTGATAAGTATGGCTGAAGCCAGAATATCGTTGGCAATGGGAGTGCTGAAGATAGTTTTTGCAATATAGCCACTTGTGCTTAAATTTTACCATCAGTGGAAGTGTTTATTTGAATCCAATTTGTCAAAACCTTTCCTAACGTTAAACACTACCACAGAATTCCAGTGGTCATTTGTCAAGAGAAAAGAAAACACATTGTCAATCTTTCACTTTCACTGGAGAATGAATGTGCACAGTCTTTAGCTGGTTTTGCCTATACATCAGCTGTCACTAGAGAGGATGTGATTATAGGTGAAACGTTCTGAAATATTTATGTGGTGAGATAAATCATTATTTAAAGTATAAGTGATATCTTCTCACAGTTCATTCCAACATTCCTGTGATGGATCAACAAGAAATTTTCCATCAACCAGCCCCTTGGATGAGGAAAATTGTCCTGGCGACAAACATCGCCGAGACTTCAATAACTATCGATGATATCACACACGTGGTTGACACGGGATGTCACAAGGAGCAGCGCTATGATCTGAGAACAAAGGTAACCTGGGTTATGAAAATTATATTGCAAGTTTGGAGGACAGGTTTTCATACTTATAGAAGACAAACTTAAAGCGGACAGAAACATCTTCTTCATACAAACTGACCAGACTTAATGGGAAATGACCCAGAACTGATAAGAGAATCAAAAGTAGGAAAACATCTAGATAGCTGTGACCATAATTTAATATGATTTGAGATGATGATAGTTATGTCTTTTCTATGATGAAAACCAAGTTAAAATATTGGACAAAAACTGGTTTTGAGGGGCTGGGATTAAAACTTGAGAAAAGAAATAGGGAAAGAATTTAGAACAATAATGGGAAACCACCGTCCAAGCTTACAACTTCATCCACCGAGAAGGACAAGGGGAGCAGATGCGTGGGAACACCTGCAAACTTTCCTCTTTCCTTGGTCTGTCCTACATATGACTTGATAACTACAGTAATGTCTATGATTCTTGAATTCCCTCTAATCTGGCCAGGCAAACAACTCAATTGTTTCAAAACTGCTACGAAGTTGAAAGTAATGAAACTGTACAGCAACGCTTGAAAAACTGGAAATGGCACAGGCAAACCCAATCCTGGTGACTTTGTGAAGTCTTGCTTAATAACATCTGGGGGCTTGTGCCAAAAACTGTCCCACAGACTGATTGAGTAACACCTTGTGATTGTCATACACACTGATTCATAGTCAACAGGCAATGCCCCAGCAAGACCATCACCACCCCTGGATTTGTCCTGTCCCACTGACTGGCAGACCCATTTGCGTTGACAGCGCTATAGTATACAGTGAGGCAGGAGTTGCTCTAGAAGTCTTTAGCGTTGACTCTGGAGCTCATGACATCTCACGGCGTCAGATCAAATATGGGCAAGAAACTCTGCAGCTATTTACCAGGTAAGAGTCTCTCCCAATAACACCTTTCTCAGCTGAAGAATCAGTAATCCTCCATGTTGAGCAAACTTGGTGGAAGTACTGAGTGTGGCAAGGACAAGGTATGTATTCTGGGTGGGCAACTTCAAGGTTTGTTGCCTAGGTTGACTTTGTAGCACCATTAACTAAGCTGCCTGAGTCCTAAAGAACATACCTGCTGAAGACCTAGTATAGTAGCTGTAAGGGAGTCATCAGGTTTGGAAACCATACTTGACCTTGTCTTCACCAATCTATCTGTCGCAGCTAAATCTGTGTCTGCTCTTGCCTGGATGAGTACAGCTCCACCAATACTCAAGAAGCTTGACTTCATCAAGGACAAAGCAGTTTGCTTAATTGACACCTAATGCACCACATTCAACTCACTCTCCTCCACCACAGTTGCACAGTGACAGCATTGAGTAACATCTACAAGATGCACTGCAGCATCTCACCAAAATTCCTTCAGCAGCACCTCTCAAACCTACAACCTATGTGACCGAAGAAAGGCAAGTGCAATAAATGCATAGGAACACTACTGGCTGCAAGTTCCCTCCAAGCTGGGCCCCTGTGGTTCTAAATCTCCAGGATTACTCTCCATGCCATGTGCTAGTGAGGCCAGAAATAGGAAGATAATACAGCTGAAGACATGGATAAAGAGCTGGTGCAGGATTGAGGGATTCAGATATCTGGATCATTGGGACCTCTTCCAGGGCAGGTGGGACCCATACAAAAAGAACAAGTTGCACCTAAATTGGAAGAGCACCAGTGTCCTCACAGGAAGCTTTGCTAGTGCAACACAGGAGGGTTTAAACTAGTATGGCAGGGGAACAGGAGCAATAGGTCAACATGTGAGGAGAAGGTAGAGGTTAATAGGACAAACAAGCAGGGCCAGTTTAATGAATAAAGCAGGGCTATAAAAAGTGTATTGAGTAAACGAGGAGGGAGAAATAATAAAAAGATACTGAAGGACGAGATAAAGTGTACAGCCAAGATTGGAGTTCTCTATACAAATGCATGGGGAACAAATTAAATGATCTTCAGGCTCACATTCAAATTCAAAATTGTTATGGTTGTCATTATGCTGCAGAATGGTCAGGACTGGGAACTAAACCTAGCAGGTTACAAGGTTTTAAGGTAGGGGTAGAAAGACTGGCAAAGAGGATGGTGTAGCATTACTGATCAGAACAAGAATCACTTTTACGGTGAGGGAGATGCAATGAGGGGAAAGCACCAGTGGACACCTTATGGATGAAACTGGGGAACTACAAAGGAACTAAAACCACAATCGCTGTCATATATGGATTACTGGTAGCAGCTTAGAGGTGATAAATTGTATAGATACTGAAATTGGACAACTATGTAACAAAGGCAGAGAAGTATTGATGGGGGATGTTACACTTAACGTAGACTGGGAGAGACAGACAAACCAGAAAGTTTGTGAATCTCGAGAGTGTGTCCCTGATGGTCATAAAGCTCTCCTCTTCCTCAAAAGAAGGCCTGAATTGTCTCCATCCAACACCACTACCCTTCTCTGCCTGGCCAAACTCATTCTTGCTCTGAACAATTCCTCATTTTCTTCAGGTTAAAGGTGTGCATCTGCATGGGCCCAGTTATACCTGGTTCTTTGTGGGATGTGTCAAACATTCTTTGTTTCAGTCCTACTTGGGTCCCTCCCCCCACCTCTGTCATGAATATATTTATCTCAGTACATCGATGACATTGTTGGTGCTGCTTGCTTCTCATTTGGAATTGGAAATATTTATCAGTTTTGCTTGTATGTTTCCACCTGCTCTCACCTTCACCTGGGGCCATTTCTGACTCCTCCCTTCCCTTCCTTGACATGTCTATTTCTATTTGTGGGGATAGGCTCACCACCAAGATCCATTACAAACTCACCAACTCCCACAGTTAACTTGACTATGTATCTTCTCACCCTGCTTCCTGAAAATAGTCTATTCCATTCTCCCTGTTTCTCTGTCTCTGTCACATCTGTTCTGATGATGCCATCTTCCTCAGGGGCCTTGAGCTTCCACTTAGCTGCCCACATACCAAGTTCTATACCCAGTTCAATATACCACCATGTTCCCATTTCTGTCTAAGGCCTACTGTAGTGCTCCAGTGAAGCTCAATGCAAGAAACAACAACCATCTTCCACTTAGGTATCTTACAGCCTTCAGAACTCAACATTGAGTTTAACAATTAGTGAGCCCCACAGTCTTTTTCAAGACAGCCAACAGTGATTACACAGTTGCCATTAGAGCATCTTTTAATTCTGGATTTTATTGAATTCAAATTTCACCATCTTCCCCAGTTACTTTAGAGGTTTCTAGCTCTTTTTAAAACAGAAAAGAGAATAGGAATTAAGGGTAGCTATTCAGCTTGGCAGAAT